GGCTGCAACTCGATCCGTCTCCTCCGGGGCCTCGCGCGGGCGCGGCCATTTGCGCCGGCCTGTGCGCCAGGAGAGAGCCCCCCTTCTCGACGCCCCCCGCCGAGGCAGTTTCCTTCCTTCTGGCGTCCCCGTCCACCGCTCTGAAAGAGGCTGTTGATCGCTTGCGGCCAGAGGCCCCAGGCCTTGGATTGGAGATGGCTGAATGGGAGCCCAGTCGGGGCCCCTCCCCTCCCGGGGGAAGGAGCCACCCCCGGCCACGCTCTGGCTGCGCGCCCTGCAGAAGGCGGCAAGACCCCCTCGGTAGTGGGGGTCCGGGCAGCGGATGGCCGCTCTGTGCCTGGGGGTGCTGCACGAAAGCCCAGAGAGGTGGAAGCCGCTTGCCCCGGGTCACACAGCCAGTGACGGCAAGCAAGGAGCACGCAGAACTGGGTGTGTCTGACCCCAGAACGGGCTCCTCTTTGGGCCTCCGATGCCCCTCGGCCTCCTGTCTCCCCCAGTGCCAGGCGGGACAGAAGTCCTCACCCGTTCTGCAGACTTTGAACCCCCACGAGGGTGGTGCTGAGCCAGGAGTGGGGAACCGGTGGGGGTACAGGGAAGCACATCCGGGTCCCACATTAGCTAGGGGGACCTCTTCGAGGAGGATACTTGAACTTGCCTGAAGCGAATGGAGGGCAGCAGGCATCAGGTGTGTGGAAAGGTTTTGCAGGCAGAGGACGCAGCCTGTGCAAAGGCCCAGAGGCAGGAAGCCCAGCGTGGTTGGGAGGAAGCTTGTGAGGCTGGCAGATGGGACTGGAGGGGCCAGGAGGCCACAGGACCTGTGACCCAAGCTCTCCTGTGTAGAGTCATTTCTCTTGGCTTCCGGTCACGGCCAGAGCCTCCCCCGGGAAGATGCCAGGGAAGCAGCTGGCGTCAGCCCTTGGGGCCAGGGAGGAGTGGAGAATCTGTGGGTGTTTTTGGCGAGTCTGGGCATAGCCCCCTCTCCAGTAAAGCTGCTGAGGGGTGTCCTGGTGGTGATTCAGACAGGAGGAGCCGGACGCCGGAGCCAGGAGGGCTGAGCCAGCTCTGAATTTAAAGGGACGGGGTACCAGGACGGGGGGCTGGGGGCTGAGGTTGGGGCTCCACAGGCTGCAGACCTCGGCGTTCTGGTGTTTTCCCCCGTTATGCAACCCCCGGGGCTTGGGAGGAACCGGAGCCCGCAGGGATGGGAGTGGGAGGGGGCGTGTCGCAGGGGCCATCTTGGATGGCTGCGTGGCAAGGGGGTGGTGTCTGCTTCCGACACACGCGTTGGGAAAGCCAGCCAGGAAGAGGGCGGATCCCGGGGGCTCAGGGCTGGGGGATGTGAATCTTCCC